AAAAAAATTGCCGTTTCCCACGCTTTTGAACCCTTCACTTTTATGGGTTGAAGGAGGAGGGCCGAACACCTCCCACTCCGCCACACTGTTTTTTCCAATACCCACGAAAAGCCTCCTCCCCTTCATGACCCTTATTTTAACTTAATTTATTTCATGTTTTGGGGTGGAGGCATCACACAGGCAGTAGGGCCCGGCTCGCTGGCAACATTTTGCCCACAGCTGTATCAGCATCTGTTCTTCCACCGCACTATAATCATTAAAGAGAAATATTTAAAAAAAAAAAAACATTTTCTTTTAAGAAATAGACAAACTGTTATTTTAAGAATTTCACCATCTTTCACTTACTGTTTAGGAAATCAAAAGACGACAGCTAGCAGAAGCTGCCGAGAAGAGGCAGATGGAGGTAACGTTGCATAAAATGCCATTGACTTAGGTTGGGGTGACAACCTTTAATTTTTTTTTGTTGAAAATAGCCAGGACTTGTGCARGAACGTGGGCTGATGATGGCACGCGTGGGTTGTTGATCATTAAAGTTTCCATAGTTTTCATATCTTACCCATACTTTCACATTTATTTAATGCACATTCCGTAAGTTAGTGTTTGAGTACAGTTTCAGGGCGGTTGAGTTTGCTTTGATGGGGAAAAAATAAGCTTTATGCTAGAGAGGCAGCAATCTAAGAACTGAGGAGGATTTACTGCTCTGTGGCGAGAGAGGAATGTGTTATTTGTATACGTTGAATTAAAAATTGATGATTATTGATGGGGGCTGCGTTGGTCTGATCCTGGTGGAATTAAGTCACTGGCCATCACGGTGGCTGAACGAAGGCCTGTGAAAACTCTCCATTCTGCATCAGGCTATACATTAAAAGCCTCCTGTATTCCCAAAACCTCGGGGATGAGATGCTTAAAAGCTAAAAATCAGGAGGTCTGGGGGAATTGCTGCTGTCCAGGGATGTTTTTCACCTTCTCAGCCTAAGCGGGGCAATTGTGCTTGTGATGAGGGCCCTGGAGCTGAGGTGGTGGCAGTTCTCCCTGTTCCCTTAGGAGGTTTCAGCAGCTTCTCCGTAACTCACCTCCATATGGAGTTTGAAGGGTAGATTTTCACTTAGGGTGTTTGTCACAGATGGAGATTTAGATTTGCTTTTTTTTTTTTCCCCCCCACAGCCTGGCTTAGCATTAATGATGTGGGACCATGTTTTTCCCATGCATGTAAAATTCCCATTGATTTCTCCAGTGATTGCAGAGCTTGTGACCTTTCCCCATGCACATATTCAGTGTTATTCACAGCAGACCTCACTACAGTCCCCATCAGATGTGTCCTACCCCTGGGCAGCCCTTTCATCAGGGGAGGATGGAGAAGTCGATGGGATGATGAAACAGGTTAGGTTCCTCCAAGTCACGACTGACTGGATCAGCTCTTCCCAGTTAATACTAATGTAAGAACAGGAATGGGAAGCCCCTGACACYGGAAAAAGAAAAAAACTACAATATAAAAAATGTATAAAAATTAGGGGGAATTTTGGAATGAGAAGCCCTGACTTCCCACACCTTAGGTACAAACCATGTGCACTTAATTGCATTCAGTATGTTTACCTGGACATAATAGCAGGATGAAGTAAAAACACCCTCAGGGCTACAGAACCAAAAACTTATAAAAAAAAATACCCTGCAAACCCTAGTTTTACATAATAGTAGCTTTAGTTGCTGTTTCWTTTTTTTTCTGGAAAACAAGAATTCACAAGATGTTGTTGCAAAGAGCGGCAGTTTGGTTTCTATCCAAAAAATAATTAACTGATCTTCCTCAACTCTCTTTTCCTCCCAGGCTTCCTCTCGTGGTATTAAGAACGCTCAATCTGTAGAGCAAAAGAAAAAGAAGCAGGAAGAAATAGAAAGAAGAATGGCAGCTTCAGGTTCTGGAGGAGAAGGAGGACTGAGAGTAAGTGTGAAAGAGAAGCAAGTTATTACAGTGCAACTGCCTTAATAAAGTGGCATTTTGGGTTTTTTTTCTGCTTTTATATAACCCTGTGGGGTTTTTTTTGTTTTGTTTTCCCATTAGTGGCAGGTTGGATAAAGAGCTCAACTCCCGAAGAGAAGAAAATTGACATTTACTGCCAAAAACTTGCCAGTTTGTGCAGCTGAGCAGCACTTGTTCACGTAGCTTCTGCTCTTTGCATCCGAAGACTCAGCAGTATTTTGCCAGCAGAGGAGGGCAGATGGTGGAAGAGCAAAATAGGACTATTAAGTCCTAATAAAGGACTCCAGCCTCTGAACACAAAGTTCTGGCCGATTTTTGTTTTTCCATGCATGTTTTATTGCTTCCCTGGCAGGGAGTGGGATAAACCCTCGTCTGTGTACATGGCCTCCTTACCTGGAGCCGGTCAGTGTAGATGATCTTGTCCGTTGATGTACGTCAGAACAGCGCTTGTCGATGACACTTATTTCAAGCTGTGCAATTAAACTTCTGTGTCCTCATCTAGAAAATTGTTGTAAGTTCAAATATGTGGATGACGACTTTTCAGTTCCCTAATGACTTTTGGACTGCTTATGGATTCAGTGCCTTTTTGAAAGGAAAGGAGATGAAGGATGGCCGTTAAAAGTGGAAGCATTTTGTGACACTACTTAATAGCAGCCTTTATAAACCCTGTACACTTAATGTTTTATTAAGKCTAGGTGTTGTTCTCATTTTGAGATGTGAATTTCTTTTGAGCCTGTATTTATAGTGTATACTGGAAGTAACACACAATTAAAAATGCTCTATTAATACTTCTCCTTTGTAACACAAGAGGGCAGTGCGGCACTTTTGAGGTTTTGAGGGGAAAAAAAGCCAAAAAAGTAAAACAGTAAAGCACTATTACATCATCTCTTGGATGGCTGTTTTCCTGAAGCGTCTGTACTATCTGGGTGGGTTGGTTACAGAGCACTAATTGCCAAATGCCAGAAGCTCTTGTCACTTTTTTTTTTTCCCCATGGCCAGGAATGTTCCCTAATGCTTTTCCCAAGTGGGAAGCTGCCGTTGATTTTTGCTACCAAAACTGTGGCGTAAGAACCAGAACCTCCAAACCAGTGACCTCAGCCTTGGAGAGAGGCATGAAACCTGTTGCAGCATCATCAGCACTAGGAAGGAGCACGATGTGCCCGCTGGAGGATGCTGGTGTTTGACCTTCGAGTATCACTGACCCCATTCCYGGCCTCCTTTGGGCTATAAAAGCCCCTTTTAGGTAAAGTGAGATTTCATTTCGCCTCCTGCAGCAGCGTCTCCCCSTCTTCTCGGAGCCCAGGCCTGACACGGCTGGTTTCCCAGGCTGGCATTCAGAATCTGGTTGAAAGCAGAGGCTTTTTCATGTTCATATTTAACAACCTTAGGTAAAAAGCTGAGCTGGTGGCAGTTAACAAATACCTCCTGTTTCACTTGATTTATGCTAATTGTTCTCATCCCTGTATTGCTCTAATGTTTTTTTTAATTAATGAAAATGCATTGAAAGTAATAAAACTCACCAGGAACTATTTTGGAATGTGAATTTCGGTCCAACACGTGTCTCGGCAGGCCTCAGACCAAGAAATACCTTCCAAGCTGCCCTTAACTTCTGGGCTTTGCCACTCAAGAGCTTTCTAACAAACACATTCTYTTTTTCCCACTCGTCTCCTCCTACCACAAAACCAGAAGGAGGGGGGAAAAGTAACCTGRTTGGCCATCAGATCTCAGCGTGGCTGGGATCACAGGCTAAAAATAATAATCCTGCAGGTGTGTCTGTGCCTCTTAAGCATCCATGTGCAGATCAGGGCTGTGCTCAGGTATCCAACACTCTGGGGATGTTGAAATGTTCATCTCGCTCTACCCTCCCATGGAGACACTTTGACACCTTGCTGTTTTGGTCATCAGCCATGAGCCCCTGAAGGAGATCACATCACTTTCCAGCTCCAGATTGTGAGGCATGAAAAAGCAGAATGAATAGACGTGTAATTTTCACCGCAATTAATAAGAAATTGGTTGCACAGGTAGGTCCTGCGTGGAAGAAAAGCTCTCGCTAATGCACAGTCAACCAGCTGAGAGGAGGCACCGACTGCAGGGAGCAGCAACAAGCAGCACAAATGGCTTTTCTAACCCATTCTAACCCATTTCAGTGTGTTGGTGCCCATTTCATATCTCCCTGTGAGCGTTTTTACAAGTGGTCTGGCCCACGTTGGCTCCAACCACCCCACCTTCCCAGCACAGAACTGTAGTTTTTCCCACAGCCAGCAAGAGTTTCCACGTCCCTTTTCCCTAGGGTGTAGCAGGGATTTCGGGAGAGATTCAAGTCCATTCTAGCAGCAGTGGAATTCTGTATACATTTTTGTGTGTGTATGAATCTGCAGGAATTTCTTATATCCTCCATGCTCACAGTCAGCTGAGTCATGCAGGAATGAGGAAGGCTCCAGCCACTCTTCCTCACTTACTCCAGGGCAAGTTCAACCTTTTGAGGACTTCATTGCCTGTTTCAGCAGAGATCTTGCCTGAGGTTTGCCAGGAATATTTATTCATGTTTAATATTAAATTAAAACCAAGAATACTTTTTTTTCCCCTTATAATTATTAGATTCTGCTCTTGATTTAGTACCATGTAAGCATTCTTGAATATTTTAAAGGGGAAACATAAGTCTGAATCGTTATCAATGGTAAAGTAACAACTATTTATGTTTCTATTCATGTCTAAAAGCTTAACCATTATTTCAAAATGAACAGCTGACACTTTCATAAGCTATACTATTATATATATACACACACACACACTATTTATGTATATACTTTTGTTATTTTTCAGCTATGCTGCATTTTTATATTAACGTTGTATAGGCTTTGTTTCCTTTCATAGGATTTACTGCTGCAATATTTCATCTTCCTAGAAACAGTCCCAAAATAAGAAATAAAGGCTAATTTTTTCCTAACTAAAAACACTTTTAGAATTGTATACTGCTTATATGATTTACCAACCTGATATATTTTAAGYTATATACTATAAGCAAACAAACAATCCCTCAAAAGACCAAGTGCCTTATCCTTAAGATTCTTTAACTCTTAAAATTCTTAAAAATTATTTCAAGAACAAGTCTCAATTCTTTCCTGTTTTCTACAACAGAAAATTGATTTTTCTACCAAATCCTGGTATTGTCTGTGCCATATATAGTAAAAGAATTCCTGCCTGCACTGTTTCCCTTGCTCTCAGGCCGTTAAAGTGCTCCTGTATGGCAGGCACCCTGTCAGCAGCACAGCAATTCCAAAGAATAAGACTTCTAATAAACAGGAGTATTTTAAAAAAGTTTCTGTTTATTTCGTTGCTAATAAAACCACCAAGTTCTGCTCAAATTTATACAGTCAGTCAAATAATCCTATATTAAAAAAAAAGTTTTTTCTAGGACGTTACAAGGCACATAAATTACCAAGTACAAAGAAAAAGAGCCAAAATCCCGACCCAAGCCCCAGTCTGCCTTGAGCTAATTCTGGAGGTGCGCGAATGATTTTCAAGAGCATGAATCACTCTACTGACAAGATAACATGGATGGTGCATTTGGTGGGACTAACTGAATCGGGAAAAAAGGGGCAGAAAAGGCTCCGATCCAAGAAGAGCATCGTGTTTTCTGAGGCAGGAATCTGCCGAGGCTCCCATGCGGGCAAAAGGAAGGCTGTCCCATAAAAACAGACAGCTCTGATTTCCTTTCATTACCAAAACCACCACGTAATTTCTGCAAATACGCCTTTCTCCACCACATAATTTCTGCAAATAACTCCTTTCTTTACCTGCATAGATGCTTTTCAACTAGCCTAACGGTCAAGGACTCAATGTCCTAAGATTTCCATACAAATATACTGCGTACTTTCTTCCATTAACATGATCCATTCCTTTACGTAATTCTAAGTATGCATTCCCATATTAAAGAGTAATAATTTGGCTAAAAAATATATGTCTATTTCTTACCTGGTTGCAGTAATTAGCCTACCAAGGGTAATTTGCTATAAAAGGCACAGTAACTGGCAATAAATAGTTCTACGACTCAAAGATCTTCGAAAGGGGTTGCCGTTTTCAGCCTGCCTTACCGTTTCCCAAGTCCTTTTAAAGCTTAAAACTAGGTTTACTACACTTGAGAAAACACACTGGACCTACACACACCAAGTCCCCACCGCGTGGGCAGCTCGTTTCACTTGATCTCCTTCTTGGCTTTGTAATGGGCCGACACAACCAGGTAGTTGTCGGGGTTCATGTCCTTCAGGGTCGGGGATTTGCTCTGGACGGGCGACGTTTTCCCGTCCACGCGGGAGATCTGGAGCATGCGGCACGGGTCGTGTTTGAGCAGGTACCCGGCGAACGTCTCCCAGCCTCCTCCCACGCGGACCATCACGTGCTTGTTGTGCAGCATCTGGAATTACACGTGGGAAAACATCAGGTCTCCCGAGGGGAGGCATTGGCCATTTCTATTAGAAAAACGGCTGCTTAACTTAGTTGAGAGCCAGAGATGCCTGCTAGCAAGAGGGAAAAAAAATAACATTATTTACACTTCAATTTAATCACCACGCAAATGCATACGGTAAGAAAATAGGTAATATCTAAAATTAAAAATTTTCATATTTTWACATTGCTACATGTTTTCCTGCAGCAGCAAGTGATGCTGTTCTTCGTGTCAAGGAATCTAAAAATTTTCTTGAGATTTCTTGAAAATACGTGAGCAAAACCACAATTTTGTATGTCTTGAAACTGGCTTTTCAGTACATAAGACAACCAGCAAAGGACAAAACAACCAGAACAACCTCCTGTCTCCTAAAAGCAATCAAAAAATTACTAAAAGTGCCATTTATCCAATATGAAAAAGTTCTCACATCCACTTWGAACACCACAAATCAAGTGCTGATGCGGTCTTGAGACAGCAAAGTCTATGGATTTGTATTTAGCCATTTTCTCTCTTAAAACACCCCCCCTAAAAAAGGTATCTGAAGAACACCCCCAAAATCTTTGGGGTAAGAGCATTTTAAAGTCAACTTCTGGTCCATGACAGCAGGAGATGCTGCTGCAGGAAGGAGGAACCTGCGGCTCCTCCGTCCTCTCCCAGGGCAGGTCGCAGTTTATAGATGGGCTTTTGGGTAAGAAGCAGGTATGGAAAGGTAGTAAAAAGCAGCAAAAAGTTTATTTGCTTCCATTTCCCTTAGGGACCAGCACGTGGGCAAATAAAACCTTCTGCGGGGATATTATTTCTTGCAGCTCAGATTAAATAGACATCTTCTCTCTCCCTCCTCTGTATCACTCTAATATAAAACCCAATGAGTGTTTGCTTTGTATATAGGCTGGGCTTCCCTTCATCCCTAATACAGTCCCTGTTCCTGCTGGGCCACCAAAGCACCGTTATCCTCCTATAACCACGTCCCGATTCTGGTAACACCAGCATAAACCTAGAATAATTCTGCCTGCTTCTGAATTGCTGCAGATTTACTGAAGTAATAAAAGAATTTAAAAAAAAAAAAATTAAGATTAAAAAGTAAACCCTAACAAAGGACATATTCTACTAACTGAAAAAGCAGCTTCCGCCCCAATATATTTCAGCTGAAAATCAAATCTTTSACATTTTATATTCCAGTATTAATTAGCCACCCCCTGCTGAGAGAATCTACTCAGAATATATTAATGTGCATTTTGGCAAACAATGTCATATTAGTCTTTCAAACCTGAAGGACCATATGATCCTATTACATTAGGGGGAAAAAAACTATTTTCCCCACCTGTAAGACAGGAAGAACGTGCTCCTCATTTTTCTTTCCTTCCCAATTTCCATCATTACACAACATCTTTTCTAACCCTCTCATAACACAGAATTATACAAAACTGTTCTGCGTTATCTCTACTGCCTATAAAAGTTCACAATGATGCAACTTCTATCCACTCAGATATTACATGTGGTTCGTATTAAATATTTTTTAGGGACCTCCTTGGAGTTTTCTAAACCTCCAGTAAAGGAGCCTATGCTTTCCCTCGCTGTAGACACTATGATAATAATATGGGAGAGAGCCAGCTTGCTTGATTAACATTTCTATCTCATCTTTAGGGATTTATACTATTAAATCACACTAAATGAATCTCACTTCGATGAAAATGCATTATAATGAAGCTCCACTTGAAASAAACACGGATGCCAAGAGCTCATGATAATTGCTTGTCATAATATTTCTACCTGCATTAGAGCTGATTTTTATAATTAATGTTTTTCCGAATCACAGAGAATTTTTATATTTATGTTAAATCACAGGTTGTAACAAATACATTCACAGGTATTTGCCCAGGTTATTGAAAACAGATCCTGATTCGTGCCTGGGGCCCCAAGACGAGACCTCCCAATGAATAAGGATTGCAGGGCACAGTGACATATTTTGATCCCATTTTGCTTATTCAACTCCAAACTTCTTTGGATACAGATACTAGTCACATTTGTGGTGTTTTATGTGTTTCATTCCTTTTCAATAAGAGTTAATAGTGCTAAACAGGAAATACAGTATGCAAAATGTCTTCAAACATAGACACTGTTGTATCTTCTAACTTGTCCCACACTTTGTGCAAAAATGCTGCTTATCTTCAACTAAGTTAGGACATAACGTGTGAGGGTTAGCAGGCAATTAGCAGATAGRCCCTGTTCTATCACAGAAGAATGCTCAGCTTTTCAATTCTTATGTTTTCATCAAAWTGTCTTTCCTCTGCAGACATTTGACCATTTCTCTATCCCAAAGATAACCTTTAAGATTCAAATACAACTTCTTTGTTATTTCGAAAGTGACAGTAGATTAAAATAAGGTAGTAAATAAATATTTCCTATTGTTTAACATGAAAAAATCTTAATGGATTTTCCAGTGAAGTAGAAAAGGTACTGCATTTATATATATATATACACACACAGAGCCATGTATTTCTATTATTCACATCTGATCTGAAACATATAATTTTGGGRGAGTTTTATAAATGGCTGGTGGTCTCAATGCTGCATTTAGACCTAGTGCCAAACTGTAAATCATCAGACATCTTTTTGATGATTTTTTGTGAAAAGATGAGACTTACGCAGCTTGCCAGATGATTTATACATTCCTCAAAATGAACWGGCCCATTTTGGCATCTGTCAGTATGACTGGAGATTTTTTGGCAGCCAGTGCAACATGCAATATAAAAATATATGTATATATAGGACTGTCAAGATGGTCATTACCTGTATTAAAAGAGTTTGGCTTTATTATTTCCTTGCTTATAAGATTTTGTGCCAAGCTGACCTCTTTAGATAGCCCAATGTAGACATGAGGATACCAGTCTGAACCAGCAAAAGAAGAGGTGGTTGAAACATGCTCAGCTGCAGATATATGTTAGTTGGCCACAAAAACAGCAGGCTCATTAGCAGTACACAGAGCACAAYGTTTGGAAAGCCTAAATATTTAAACATTGATAATCAAGTGCTCCACGGGAGGTAGGTACATCAACACCATTAACTTGTGGTCTCCTAACAGWTCACCCAACACATGCACCGAAAGGTCCCCAAGGACTCATACAGAAATCTAATGAAACGGAGTGACCGTGAGTCATACAACATTTTCACTTAGTGACTTTTGAAGCCAAAGGACATTTATCTAACTCTTAAAAACGTGCCTTGGGTTTAGGTTTTCTAAAACCTAAACCTTACCCTTTTGCTCGTATAATAAAGTGATCATGATTTTTTTGTTCCCCTCCTTTTCTGGAAAAGCCCTTAAGGATAAACATATTAAACTACCTACCCTATCCTTTCTTAATTAAACCTCTTTCTCACAAAGCAGCTCTCAATCTCCTTTTCATCTCACCGCTAGTTCTGTGAAAAGATGCAGAGCAAAATCCACTGCCTGGCCTCACAGAACCACACTGCAGATCTGCCTGTGCAGGTTTCTCGTCTTTTAGAAAAGAAGCCTCTTTTAAAAAAGAATTGCCTTATTGCTTGCTTTCACCAAACCCATCCTCATGTAGCTGGTCACAGCCTTTCCACTTCTATGCTGCCTTTTTTTTTTTTTTTTTAAATTCTTCTAGAGTGACATTACTGTCCATGCAGTGCCTCCTTTCATCTGCAAAAAGACTCTGAAAATGAAATATTTCTGAAAAGGAAAAATGTAGGAAAAGCTGACCTAAAATCAGCACACCTTTTCCTCTTGGGACTCCATTAAATGCCATTTGAATGCTGCTTTTTACAGGCTCTCTGGGGGGTTCATTTGGGATCTATAACCCAAATTCCCAGTTTCTTTTTCCACTCCTTACACCMCCCTTCTCAGTCACCACTATTTCTCTGCAGTGCTTGGAAGCAGCACAGTGTCACATTTTCAGCACAGGGCTGGCAATAGGGTCAGRAACTAAAGACATCTGCACCCTGCTGAAGACTGAGGCACAAAAATAGCATCTAAGCCTTCAGTTGGCATCAGAGAGCAGCAGGGCAGGAGAAAAAGCCTTTGTATGCTTAATATACCAGTAAGCATGACCTATATTACCTGGTCACCTACTGAAAATAGAGCTAAAAAGTTCTAATTGTGCTCAGTGATCACATAATCCTTATCTGATCCTAACTTCTCATCTCAGTACCTGGACAGGAAGGAAAGGGAGGGTCTCTAGGATGTGAGGATCAATGGGAAGGGTAGTGGCAGAGTGGAAATGGACAGTGCTTGTATGTAGAGAATTATCCACGAGCAAGGTGAGAAGAAATGGATGATCCAGAAAAAACACCCACCAAAATAATATAAGAAACCACAGTGAGAGGAAGGAAAGGTTCTTTGGGACAAGCATCTAAAAGATGCAGAAGATGTCTGGTTTGCAAAGGTTAAATTCAAGCACCATCTGTGTTACAAACACTGCACTTAATGCAGGATAAATCTTCATTCCTGTTTACAGACTTATTTTAATAACTACTCAAAGTATTCCCAAATAACTACTTGAAATCAAGGTATGTTTTTGGATGTGAACCAATACAAACAACAGGACGATCTTGGACTCTCCCACCCTTGMTTAAGTTTTCCCTTAAGCCTTGCTCCTCATTTCTTTCTGACACACTTTTACGGAATTTGGGAATAGCTTCTGGTGGCTAATTAACACTAGATGTTGCTTGCTGTTTAGAATTAAAAACACAAAAACCCCACTCTGGTGTAGGCGAGCACTTTGTGTGTGAGAAATGACTCAGATGCAGACAGCAGTAAAACACACTTGCTTTTTCATTAGGAAACGAGTGAATTCCTGTCAAGTGGAGGCTTTTGTTTCTCACACTGGGAGAAACAGTGTCAAGGAAAATTAATTAGATGGGGTAGTCACATGTTCCGTCTTGAATCTGTGATGGCACCAGATTTGCAGGAGGATTTGCAGGAGGATTTGCAAGAACTTGGGAGTAGA